TGCCCTCGTATCTCCTGGCCATCGTGCTGGAAGGAGTCAGGACAAGCCAAAGGTGTTGTGCCTTGGGTTTCAGTGCCTCTGATGCTCACCTGGGACCAGCCTGTCCAAAAGTGATTGTGTGGCTTGTTCCCAGCACAGTGCTGTGGCAATCCCATCCTCACAGTGGGGAGCCTGTGAAGATGGGATTGCCTCACCATCTTCCTCCTCACCCGCAGCTTTGCCTCCTCACCTTTCCTTGTGCAGCTTTTCCCTGTGCCCAGGAGCAGAGCCAGGAGGGGGCTGCCCTGCTCTCTCCTCCGTTCCTCCAGCCAAGCCTCAGCCTGTGCAGCTTCCAGCAGTCCCCACTGTCACCTCTGGCTGACTTGTGCTCCCACAGAGGGCTTGTTCACATCTCTGCTGGTGATTCATAGGGTTTGGGGGGCCCTGCAAATGAACAGAAGCCATAACTGTAGCGCCTTGGAACAGCCCTCAGATTACATCACCGTGTTTGCACTTTTATGTCTCCTTCAGAAGTTCATTATGAATTTCTGTGTGCTCCTGGGGTCAGGGTTTTAATAGCAGGGGCTGTTGTGCCCAGCTCTATCTGGCTGTTCTATCTGGCAGTTTGTATTTACCAGGCACACAGGGGCTGGGAGGGTTGCGTAAGCTGGTTGCTATGGCAGGTTTCTATTCACCATCTGCTTGACTGAAAAAATATCTTTTTTCAGTTAGCACGCTGGGTCTGGTGTTTGCATCTTTTGTTTCCTTCCAGATGCAATCTCAGAAACACAGGAGGGGCTGTGAGGCTTTGGAGGGGAGGAAAGGCCTTTTGAAACAGCTCTTTTACCCAGCTAAAAAACACATTGTCCCCGCTTGGACACTGCAGGAAACTTAACGTCCTGAAAAGCCACTTTCCCTATGCCCAGCTACTTTCCATGGCACCGCTTTATCATAAAGGAGATAAAACCGCAAGCCTCTTTCTATATATACCTTCATCCTGTTTCTGGGCTGTTTTCCTAAGGAAACCGGGATCTGTGCTCACCATCACCTTTTCCCCCTCCTTCCCAAGCTGCTCTTGAGCCTCTGACTTATTTCTGCCCCATTTAGAGGAGAAGACATAAAATTAAGTTTCTGCATTTCTCAGGAAAGGGGAGAGGCCTATTAATGACCTCAAGAAGAGATGTGATGTAAGAGTTCACCCCTTGCTAGAAACTCAGGAGGCCACTCTGGAGGGGGATGTTCTGAATGCTCTGTTCATGAAAAATTGTTTTAAATGGAATTTGCAGCTCAGCAGACACAAATACACATGAGAAAATCCATAGGAAACTGTTCATAGAACTGTCCTTTTCCAGAAAGTGTCTCTGGCTAAGAACACCAAGCAGAAGCAGAGACTGGACAAGCAGAACCTCCCTAGAAGGGCCAGGATGGGCAGCAGCAACAGCAGCCCAGGTAGTGTGTGGTGAGATGTGTATTTCTGGAGGACACAAACCCAGAGTCCTCAGGGGTAAAGCTTCTGTTTTGCACAGCAGCTTGAGAAAAGGCAGGCTGGAAAATCACAGGTGAACAACCAGAGGAGCTGAGGTCAGGCACACATCATGTAAGTCCCCAAAGCAGCCCCAGAGCTGGGGTTCACCCAACACCACAGGCCCTGCACACAAAGGGCAGCAGCAGCAGCAAGGGCTGCTGATTGACTCCAGGGAGAGTTCCTGAGAGCAGCCTCTGCTGGCCAGGCTGCCTGAGCCAGGGTGTACACACTGCCCAGCCCCTGCTCCAGCAGCACTGGGTGTTCCCCACACACCACCTCTTCCTTCCATTCAGCCTGGGCAAGGCACTGCCGTGCACGGTGCCTGGCAGCCGCTGCTGGCTCAAGGACTTGGCAGCTTTGCCAGCCCAGCTCCTGCAGGATGCAGCTAAACCAGGCTCAGATGTGGTTTCTGGGAGAGAGTGGGACAGCTGTGGGGAGGAGAGATGTACACAATTCCCCATGGTGGCCCAGGTGTTGGGCCACCAGATGTCACCTGGAAGGTGACCACCAAGGTGATGCACAAAATGCTTCTGAGAGCCAGGTATGCTCTACATGAAGGAACCTGGGTGCCCCTTTGCCCTTTGGCTGTTCACAGGGTGTAGGGCAGCCTCAGCTGTTCTTGAGCACATCCCACTGGCAGCTGTAATTCACTGCCATGAGTCCATAAGGACAGATCAAATTGTGTTTTCTTCTTATATGCTGTGCTGTTGCCTCAGTCATGGCTCACTGTTATCTCATTTTGCTGGGGGAAATATTACATGCTTCAAGCACAGCACAGATAAAAGACTGAAACTTTTATTTTTAGGCTATAATAAACTAAATGTTTAAAGGAGGAAAACCAAAGGTAGTACTCTCAGAGTGTATGGTTTTAAAGCAGAGCAGGCATACACCTCCTACAGGATGCATAACCCAAAATTTGCTTTAAGGGTTGTAGCTTGTTTACAAGGTCCAGCCAGAGCACAAAGCACAAAGAAAGCATCTGACCATGATCCCTTTGTGCACTTTAGCAGTCTGCAAGTGAGATCTAGCACTTATATGTATTTATAAAGCAAAAATAATCAAAACAGTTTTCAAAAGAAAGTTTTCTCTCAAAAGCTTCTGGCAGCTCAGCAGCAGCACTCAGACTGTGCTCTGTGTCTCACAGGCTCCACTCACTGAAGCTGTAATATCACCTACCTCAGGAAGTCAGGTTTTAGGTTATAGGTACATTGATAAGACAAAAGAAGGTTTTTTTAAAAAAATGAAATGGGAAAAGAATGGTGCTGCAGTTAATAGAGTAATGCTCTGTAGAGATTCCCATCTGCATTGGCACGGTCTGGAGGAGGCACACACTGTAATCTGAGCCATGCATACTTTAGTAAACTGCTTTGCTTCCAGCTCTGGTTAGGAGCATTGCATTCAAGTAAGAGTGAAGTCTTGAGGAGCAGAACATGTTAACACCAATTTCTCCTATTTATGTGGAATAGTTTATTAAATTAATTCAGTCATTGATACGTGCTGAGGCTGTTGACCATGGTATGAACCATGGGGCTTGGCCAGAAATTACCTTTAAGGGAAAAACCCCAATAACAACCAGCAACATGAAAAAACCACCTTCTATCCCACAGGTATTCATTTTGCAGGAATAAGAGGCTGGATCTTCAGTCACAGTGAGGGTCTGTCAGCCAGCAGCTGCCAGAGCTGCTCCAGCAGCTAAGAGTGTCTCTTACACACCCATACAGGCACAGGACCCCTACAGCATTTTCTTACATCTTCCATGGAAAGCCTGGAATGAAGTGGAATCATAAATGTTGTGCTTTGGCAGGAGGATCACAACCTTGAGAGATGTTTTTTGGGCCACAGTACCCAGGTATGCAGAAGGTCTAGAAAGGAGGACTTGGATATAGCTGTGCTTCCTGGGAGGATCATGCCACTGTATCCATCATCTGCCAGCCAGCAAAGCTTCCTCAGGGAGTGTTCATTTTGGCTCAGAATGGGATTATCCAATTCTCACTCTCTCCTTAATACAGTCTATATATAAGAACATCTGACATGGAAGAAGATTTAGTTCTTCCCTGTCAGTTTCTGCTTTGTGAGTTAGCTAGGTGCTAACACCAGGTATTCTTTTAATTCTGCAGAAAGGCTTGCACCATAATAATACTAAAATTATTTATATATAGAATATTACTCTGAGGTTCATGCTGAGGTCCTTCTCAGACTCTTTCTTGGTCATCTTTATTAAAAGATGAGTACATACATTTTCTATTCAATAACTACTAAGTGGTGGTTTAAGGCAAGTTTTTCTTCATTCACAATGAATCATACCTTTCGATATACAGGGCTCATTCAAAATGGATTGAATCATTTTCGTTTTGCTATCTCAAATCTTTGTTCTCCAGTGAGGATATATTTTTAATATGGTTTTCACCTTCTCAAATCTAAAAGCATGCAATCATTCCCAAAGATTACTTTCTTCCCCAATATTTTTTAATAATTAATTCAGGGGTATGAGTAGCAGTGTGTACAAAACAAGGTAAACACACAATCTGCCTGTACCCAAGCCCAGGTGGAGGTGCTGGCTGTCTCCAGAGCATCCCCAACCAAGACAGAGAGTAACAGCACCAGGAAAATGCAGAAGAACCTTGGCCATCTCAGGGCTCTTGCTGAGCAAGATCCTGGCAACATCTGCTCTTATTGTCTGCTGAGTTGCTTGATTTGGGATAAGATAGGAATGCCCAGGGTACATGGTGTACACATAGCTATTGCTTGCTTTTCTTCATGATATTTGTGGCTTTGCTTTCCTTTGCAAGGTCCAGCTTTCATCCAACTCTGTGAGAGAAAAACCGCCCTGAGAACAGGGAGTGTCTATATCAAATCCACTGAGAAGACTAAATAAGACAATCTTGATAACATGAAAGAAATATGTACCTGTGCCAAACAGGTATATATCTCTCTGTGAATAAAAATAGAAAGCAAATAAAAAAAAAAAACACACCAACAACAAAAAAAAAAACCAAACAAAACAAAACAAAAAAAACCCACCAAACACTTCTTCCTGAGAAAAGTATTGGAATTAATTCTGAAAACGTATTCTTAGAGAATAGTAGTCAAATCTTCCTCAAGTGTTCCCATGCCATGTAAGGGAGTTTCAGCAGGAGTAACAGGATATCCAAGTGCATCTGTAAATTAATGACCTACAGGTTACTGGGTAAAATATGAACCAAAATAAGAGAGCAGATTTAAAATAAAAAAATAGGGCACCGTTCTGAAGAAGAGTTCAGCAAAACCATTTCAATATGTCAGACTACATTTTACTCTCTTTGTTCCCAGAAGAGTGAGGGTGTCTCTATAATTTCCAGGGGAAAATCACATGTAATATAATCCCTTGGTAAAAAGGACAGACCTCATAGTGCAAAGGAAAACAAACTTTATTCCCCAGGTGAAGATTAAACAAAATTTTTTCTCTTAGAAAACATATCTAGTCTTCAAATATTAAGAAAAATAGGGAAAAACAGCTACAATAAAAATAAACCAAGAAAACAAATAAAGGTACAAACATGTTTTTCTTCTGGGGAAAAAAGTACAATTCTGTTAAAATTATGAATGGAATTTACAGCCTTTTTCTTCCCTTTTTTTTTTCTTTTGAGAGCTTGAGTATGTAGTATATGGTGGTATATGGCATATGTTCCAATTTCTCCCATTCATAACTTGTCAATGGCACCTCTTTTTTTTCCTTTTGTCACATAATTCCCTCTTTCTGCCCCAAATCCAAAGTCAGCACATAACATGAGTCTTTGTGAAGCAGCAGGTTGTGACAAACAGCTCACTTTTACCTATCAAGACCAATCATGTATGAAGCTCACAGGTTAAAAAGCATTAAAATGTGTTCAAAACTGATCCCATATGTTTTGAGGCTTCCACCACACAGAACCACCAAGTAAGAACATATTTTCCTTTCTAAGCAGAAAATTTTTCCACATCAGCTTAGTGTCCCTGTTGTTTCAGCAGGAGCACATTCATTGTGCTCTTATTTCTTCCATGCATGTGTGTTCACTGCAATTTGTCAGTACAGAACTGGTTTTTTGGAGCCTGAAACCTGAGCACTTCCCACTGTAATAGCAGTCAGGCTCTAGGCCATGCTTATCATGTGTGGACCACTATTGCTTTGGATCTTTAATACTGATTAACCAACCAAATAATAAATTAGATTGAGAGGGAAATCTTCGGGGAGGAAAGAACAGATTCAATTTAATTACAACAACATATCTTGATTATTTCTTGTATTAATACTAAGATTCTGCACTTAACTAATCTTTGTCCTCATAATTAAGGTCATTTGTCCCTATGGGTTGTTTTCTGTCTGAAGCAGAGTGTGGAGCTGTGCAAAGGTGATGGGCTGAGCCTGTGGCAGTGGGAGCAGAGACAGCTTTCCATCACAGCCACGCAGGAATGCACCTCCTTCCCAACAGAGAAGCCTTGCTGGGATTGTGCCAGGATCACCTGCAGTGCCTTCCTTAAAGCCATGAACACCAGTGAGGAGTCTCAGGGGGAAGGGCAGGGGGCATGCCAAGCTCTGGGGTGTCCAGGGGAAAACCTGGGGAGTCTCAGAGCAAAGCAGTGGAGTGCTGCAGTTCCTCTGGCACCCATGGATGGTGAACTGATGAAGCCCACAGAACAGCTGGAACAAGCCAAAGCCCCAGATGCACTGTCCATTGGCAGGAATGACTATTTCTGTTCTCTCAGGCTGAAACACCCAAACACCACGTTGTGCCTCGCCTCTGCTTTCTCTCGGGCGAGGATCCCGCATGGGTGAGTGCGTGTAAAACACATCAAAGCATTTCAGGCATTCCCATAAAGCCTGCACTGCTGTTCCATTGAAAGCTGGGCAGACCTCCAGCTATCCTTGCTCCTTCTTGCAGAGGATGGACTCCATGATCTCTCGAGGTCCTTTTTGAAGCTTCCCTTCTGTGCTGATGCTTATAATTACAGGAGCTTTCCTCTGTTTGCACTTCTTCACTTGAATGATGCTTATGCATTCTGAAAGGAAATGTGCCATAAATGCAATTGTGTTGTTGTTGTTATTCCGTTCTTATTATTCACTCAAGAACTGCTGAAAAATGGGTTGTAGTTCCTCAGGAATGTGAATAAAGTTTTTTCTCTGGGACCTCGACGGGCGGCCCAAGCGTATCGGCAAATGGAGGAGAGGAGTAAACAAGTCACAGCAGAGAAACGGCAGCAGAAAAATATGAACCTGTTAGCTGCAGCACCACCAAGTGTCAGCAGTGAAAACACCACGTATCGGGAAAATACCCAATTTCTACAGGAATTGCAGGAGCAAATATTTTTAACCAGCTCCTTGGCATCTACATGAAAACAGTTTAATTTTGAAAATTTTTGAAAATCAATTTTGAAAATTGTCAGTGTCAAAGAAACCTCTAAGGCTTCTCCCAAGTGCCCAGATCCATTATGTTATGCCAAGGTAATATCAGTATTTTCAGAAAATTAACAATATTTCCAATTAACAAGGGAATCATTTGAATAGAAATTAAGATTTAAAACTTCTCAACAATTTAAATGGGTTTGTGTTTGTTAACTATTCAGGCACAATCACACCCCAAGCTCTCAGCTGCTGCCATGAGCTGCAAGGTGTGCAGGAGTCACTGCCTCCAGCACGGGCAGGGACCTGCTTTGTGTCACAGGGACAGACACGGCGCATGGCAGCTGCCAGTGGAGGCTGCTTCAGACAAAATCCTTCTCTTTTCTGAGTGTTGCGTTATGTTATTACACATGTGTCAGAATACAGCTTGTAGATGTAACTCCCCTCTCCGTATGAGAACCCGAATGCCCCTGCTAGTCGGGTGTCGCCTCCTCTGGCCGCGCACTGGCGTGCCGGGGTGCTCCCTCTGGCTCTGCACCACAGGAGGGGGAGCATGGCCAGTGGCCCCAAAGGACAGGTACCTGCCTCTGCCCTGTCAGCAGCTGTCAGGGACTGCATGTCAGTGACACCACCGCTTTTATTTTTCAGGGTATAGTAAGCAAAAAATATAACTGATGACTTTTTTGCTTCCAAGCATTGTGATATTCTCAGTCCCTTACTGCTAGCATTTATCTAGGGTGCCTTTACAGACTTCCCAAACAAACCAAAGTATCCTTCTACTCCTTTGAGCTTGTTTTTCTGATCCAAAATTAAAATATTCAGCAGGAATGAAGAGACATGCTAAAACAAAGAAACTTTCACAGCCCATCTATTTCCATGGCACATTTTGGAAGCAAAGCTCTGTCTATTGTTTCATGATTTTCATTTCCTGATTTGTCTTGCCTGGCTGCAGCTTCACACTGCTGTTGCTGCCAGTGCCAGTACTGCACACTCCCCTGCTGAGCATCTCTTCCTTGGCAGAGTGGGAGAAGGCAGAGCATCATGTTAGCACGGCTTCCCAGCCAGTGCTGGGCTGGGCACTGCTCTGCCTGCCACAGGAGGACATCCCTGCCCTTCTGATTAATTATGTCACCTTCTGAAACAGGACACAGCCTCCCAAGTCTCTTGTGCAAGTCTGAAAACATTATCACCACTCATGGCAATGGAAAGGAGAGCATTGAGAGCAAACTCCCATCTCAAAATGCTGTGGCCAAGCAAGATGAGCTGGAAACCACTGTACTCAGCACTTTTCTTGGGGTGTCTGTCCCATGGATGTCCACAGGAGCCTGGAAATTCCCAGCACCCGCTGATCTTTGGGTGTGTGTGCTTTCTGGATGTGGATTCCCTGTCCTGCCTTTCAGAGACAGTTCTGGCTGCATGTGTCAGCAGCTTAGCCTGGCTGAGAGGCAGCGGGAGAGTTCTCTCTGCTTTAACTTCAGTTCCCTCCTCCAACAGATGCCGGTTCTCGTGGCGATTTGCCCAAGGACAGGCCCTGTAGCTGCGGAGAGCCCCGGTGAGCAGCGAGCAGGCACTGCAGAGCCACAGCGAGCCCCGCGGCTCCCGGCACTGCGGCGTCCTGGGGACCAGGCACCACCTGCTGCCCGAAAAATTAAACTCCTTAAATCCAGCTTTGCAGATCCCCAGCTAACTGCAACAGGCGTCATCTAACAGTCTAAAGAAACCTGCAGATCTTGCTTCTGCAGAACTTCAAACCCTAACACTAGCCCTTACCAAAGCCCAGAAACTCATGGCTACTTTGAAGTATATCTCATCTATCCCTGTGTGCACTTTGAAATGCATAATACTGCTCTCTACTCTGGAACTAGAGCCCTTAAACAGATAAGATAAACTGTTTCTAATATTACTCCAAAATTTAAAATATTACATTAGCTTCTCCTAACTTCCTAACTTGGTATTTATTTGTATTGATACCCAAAACCAAATCTTGACCCTAACTTCCAGGAGAGCTATCCAAAATTTCAGGTGAAACCTCCATTTTGTACCACACTTTCTCCTCTCTGAAGGGACCTTGCAAGAGCACATAAACCTGATCCTGCAGTCCTAGTTGTCTCATATTCCCCTAAAGCCTTCACAAAGGCAGACTAACACCACCCCTGCCCGAAAATTGAGAATAAGGCCAGTTGAAAATTGATTCATGAGGCCAGTTCCCGATGATCTCATGCGATTTTGCCAAACACTGCAGGGGAGATCCATCTGTGAACCCTACTGCCCTAACTCCTTGTGCTACGCTTACTTTTGGACTTCTAGAAAACTCAAGATTATCTACAATTCCTGCAAAATAGAAATACAACATTCAAACCCAGCCTTGAACTTGCCTCAGAGCATCCTACAGATAGGAGAGGGAAATGTGCTGGTCAGTATTCCATGTATCCTTAATTCTAGCTGTAAGTGTAAGCCCATAAGAGGGAAGACAAAACTTAGGTGGAAATTAATAATAAAGATATTCAATTATTTTTCAATGTGTCTGTTTGGGAGGACATCTCAAGTCACCACAGGAAACTGCTGCTGAGATCTGATTTTCCAGA